AAGGAAAAAAACAGTTTATCATCAAAAGCAGTGAGTGCAACTCAGTGCAGGGCAGGGACCTGGAGGCAAGAACTGATGCAGAAGCCATGGGCCACCAGCTCAGGGGTGGCACCACCCAGAATGGACTGGGTCCTCACCTACCAATCACTAATTACAAAAATGCCTTATATCTGGTTCTTGTGGAGGTATTTTCTCTACTGAGGTTCCCTTCCTCTCAGATGACTTTAGCTTGTGTCAAGTTGACATAAAACTATCTAGCACAAGGTTGTTCTTTGGTTAAAAATATTAACTAATATTTGATTTCTTTCAAGGTTTTTGTTCGTTTATTTGTTGAGACAGTGTCTCTCTACATAGTCCTGGCTGTCCTGGAACTCAGTGTGTAGACCAGGCTGGCCTAGAACTCACAGAGATCCTCCTGTCTCTGACTTCCAAAAATTGTTATTAAGGACAGGTGTCACCACTCCTGGCTTGGAGTTATTTTGAATGAGATATTTTCCTTAATTTTTTATCTGAAAGTCCATTGTTGGTGTATATGAAAGGTATTATTATGGTCTTTGTTTGTTTTGTTTTGTTTTTTGTTTTTTGAGACAGGGTTTCTCTGTGTAGTTTTGAAGGTTGTCCTGGAACTCACTCTGTAGACCAGGCTGGCTCTGCCTCACCAGTGCTAGGATTAAAGGCGTGAGCCACCAACGCCTGGCTTTTTTTTTTTTTTTAAATATTGATTTTGGACTCTGTAATTTTACTGTGTTTATGACAAAGAGTTTTCTAGTAGACTCCATAGTGTCTTTTAAGTAAAGAATCCTGCCTTTGCCTCTCCGCCTCGTGCCAGCATTAAAGGCATGTACCACCACTGCCCAGCTTTGTTGAGAATTTTTGCATCTTCATTCATCAAAGAATTAGTCTGTAATTTTCTTTTGTATGTCTGTCTTCATAGTGTTTTGTTATCAAAATAATACTTTATTCATAAATGGGTTTAATAGGATTCTTTCTATTTTGTAGAACAAGTTTAAGAATCGGTATTCCATCTCCTTTGAAAGTTGGATAGAATGCAGCAGTGACTGTGTGATCTTGGGCTTTTCTTCAATTGAAGGGAGGCTTTCAATACAGTTCTTCTGTCATTGCTTTAGTGGGTTTAAGTTACTTATATCATCTGTATTTAATTGTGATAGAGATGCATTTAGAAATTCTTCTGTTTCTTCTCATTTATCCAAATTTTTAGATTATAAGTTTTATTTCATTTTTTGGTTTTTTCTGTGTAGTGTTTCAGTATGTAGCCCTGGCTAGCCTTGGACTCACAGAGATTGTCCAGCCTCGTCCTTCTAAGTGCTGAGATAAAAGTGTGCCACTCCACCCAGCTAGATTATAAATTTTCATGGTAATCTCAATAACATTATTTCATTGGAGTCTTTTGGTTTTTCGAGACAAGGTTTCTCTGTGGCTTTGGAGGCTGTCCTGGAACTCAACTCTGTAGACCAGGCTGGCCTCGAACTCACGGAGATCCGCCTGCCTCTGCCTCCCGAGTGCTGGGATTAAAGGCGTGCGCCACCAACGCCCGGCCTTTCATTGGATCTTTTAGTGACATTCTTTTGTTAATTTATGTCTTTTCACTCTCTTTGTCAGATTAGTAAATTTGTCAATTTTACATTTTCTATGATTTTTAATCTGTATTTCATTACTGTCTTCCCTTTATTATTTCTTGCTGTTTACTGTGTTTAGGATTGGCTGCCTGTTTTTCAAGACACTTGAGGTGCATTATCAAGTTGTTTATTTGCATTCTCAAAAACATTTCTAATTTTATTATTTCATATGCATGTAGGCCATGTGTCAGATCCCCTCAGGCTTAGTTACAGTCAGCCATCATGTGGATGCTGGCACTTGAATCTGCATCCTCTGCAAGGTCAGCCAGTAACTGAGCCATGTCTTCAGCCCCCTCTCAGATTGTAATTAGGAGCACTTATTACTACATACTTTCGTTTTAGGACTACCCTAGCCACATGCTAGGTGTGATAAGTTGTACTTTATTGTCATTTGTTTCTAGATACTTTTCAGTGTCCTCTGATTTTTTTTTTACTAATTCGTTCATATAAGTGTTTTGTTTAGTCTCCAAATATTTTTGTAGTTTTTGTAGTTGCTCTTACTGTTGGTTCCTCGTTTTATTATGGTATGGTCTGGTAGGACACAAGGAATTACTGCCTCAGTATCTTTGTATATGATGAAATTTGACTTGTGTCCTATGATGTGGTTTATTTTGGAGAATGTTACATATACTGCTGAGAAAATTGTGTATTCCACATCTGTTGGGTAGAATATTCCATATATTTATCTGTAATTCCAGAGATCCGCCTGCCTCTGCCTCTCAGGTGCTGGGATTAAAGGCGAGTGCCACCAATGCCCGGCTACTCCTCATTCTTAAGAGTCAGTCTCTTTTTTTTTTTTTTAATTCTCTACTTTTTGCACTGGCTAGGGACCTACCTTTACACTAATTTAAATATCCATGTGACAGGCATTCATCTTGGCTCTTACTTTAGCCAGGAAACTTCTGGATGGGTGGTTGCTTAGGTGCCATTGTTGCTTCTTTTTTATTTATAACTTCTCCAGATTTTAGTGTTGCTAATTTGAACAGATGGAATCTTGTCCCATCTTTGTTGGAACTAAAACTCTAAAACTGTCTCTAATTTTTATTGTGATGGTTTTTGTTTTGTTTGTTTATCTTTTACTGTTATTTGTTTTTCAGACAGGGTCTTAAACTCTGATTCAGATTAGGCTTAAATTTGCAGCAAACATTGTACCTCAAGTCTTAGATTCTGAGAGCACAGATACCATGGCCACTATTGCTGGTACCCCTCCCCTTGTTACTGTTTTTCTTCCTGTTTTACTCTGTAGCCCTAGCTAGTCTTGAACTCATAGAGATCCTCCTGCCTCTGCATCTGGAAAACTGGGTTTAAAGCTTTGTGCTATGTATGACACTGTCACTTCACCTTATTTAGATTTCTTTTATGGTAGGAGTTAGGGTGACTTGTTTTTATGTGTTGGGGTGCTCATGTATGCACATGAATATGGAAGCCAGAGCTCAACCTCAGGTTTCATTCATCCATTGGGAGCCTTGCTTTGTTTGTTGAGACAAATTTTCTCAGCAGTACCAGTAATATCACTTTATGAGGATGGCTGGCCAGTAAACCCCAGGAATTTACCTGTTTCTGCCTCCCTAGTGTTGTAAGTACAAGCATGTATTGCCATCTCAGGTTTTTACATGAATTCTGGGGGTTGAATACAGTTCTTCATGCTTGCGTAGAAAGCACTTATTATACCAACTGAGTCATCTCTCCAGCCCTAGATTTCTTAAATGTCATTCATGATAGCATCATTTTATCTAAGACAGTTTCTCATATAGCCCATAATGCTTTGAACTCATACTGCTTTGAATTTACAGGAATCCTTCTGACTCTGCCTTCTTAGTTCTTTCTCCTTTGCTGAGGCATGACTCAACTTTAATGTGTGTGAGTTTGGTGGGTTTTGGTTTTGGCTGGCTTGCTTGCTTGGTTGCTTGCTTGGTTGGTTGGTTGGTTGGTTGGTTGGTTGGTTGGTTGGTTGGTTGGTTGGTTGGTTGGTTGGTTGGAGACTGGGTCCTATGTATCTCAGGCTGTGTTTCTGGATAACCTTGAAATTCTTATACCTCTGCTTTCTCTAATTGTTTTGTTTTCTTCATTGATGACTTTCAGTACATTTGTTATGATTTGCTTTGTTTTGAGTTAATCTTCCTCATGGTGTCTTAGATTCTTTTAACTTTAAGTTTATATTTTATCAAATTTGAAGAGTTTTTAGCCATAGCTGTTTGAATGTGGAAACAGGCCATGAACTTGACTTCACTCTGCCTCAACCAAGGTAGTAGTTTCGTTTATAGATTTGTACCTCCACCAAGTTTACTATTGTTGATTATACACAGTCATACTCTCTATGCTAAGCTAGCATCACAGAAGTCTTTCTGCATTAGCCTCTAGAGTGCTGAGGATTATAGGTGTGAGCCGTCATGCCTGACTGATGATTTTGGTTTTCTGAGACAAGATGGCCTTGAATTTGCTGTGCAGCCAGCCAAGAATGACTTTGAATTACTTACCTTTCTCCATCAACTTCTATTTTTTTAATGAATTTATTTGTTTTTATTTTATGTGCATTGGTGTTTTGCCTACATGTGTATCTATGTGAAGGTGTCAGATTCCCTGGAACTGGAGTTTTTGTTTTTTCTTTTCTTTTCTTTTGTTCTTTTGAGACTGGGTTTCTCTGTGTAGCTTTATAGACCAGGCTGGCCTCCAACTCAGAAATCTGCCTGCCTCTGCCTCCCAAGTGCTGGGATTAAAGGTGTGAGTCATCACCACCCAGCTTCTTTTTTAAGACAGGATCTTGGTATGTAGCTCTGGCTAGTTTAGAACTCTGTAATGTAGATCAGGCTGGCCTCTTAGATTGGTGATTCCCTCTGGCTCTAGAGGTGGGAGTCAACACACCTGGAACATGACTGTAATGTCAGTGCATGGGAATAGGAGGCACAAGAATCAGGAATTTAAGGCCATTGTTGGCTACATAGCAAGTTCAATGTCAAGACTCTACCTCAAAAATGATAAATACATGTAGACCGAGTTTCTGTCCAGCCTGGTCCTGCTGTCCTTCTGCTCCAGATAAACACACTGAGACTTATATTATAATTAATGGCTCAGGCTTCTTATTGGCTAGCTCTCTCTTAATTATTAACCCATACCTATTAATCTATGTATTTCTACATGGCCTTATCTTCCCCGTAGCCTCATGGCGTCTCTCTTGAGACCTCTCCCTGACTCTGCTCCCCAGAACTCTCCTTGTCTCGTAGCCCTGCCTGTACTTCCTGCCTGGCTACTGGCCAATCTGTTTTATTCATCAACTAATAAGAGGCACATGCAGAAGGATATCCCCCATCAAATATGTGTGTAATTATTTTTCACAATAACATCTTCAAACTATTTTTTTTCCAGCTTTACAGAAGCACCGGTTGAAATTCCCAGTCTTCTTGAAACCCCCGCTGAGCCTTCTGAACCTGAAAGTACCTTGCAACCTGTGTTAGCTCTCATCCCACGGGAAAAGAAAGCCCCACGTCCTCCAAAGAAGAAGTACCAGAGAGCTGGGCTGTATTCTGATGTTTACAAAACTACAGAGTAAGTAGTGGTGACTGAAAGTTTATATATCTCCTATTAGCCACCATAGTTTTAAATTTTCTCTTTTCTTTTACCACCATGTCAGTCCTCACAGGCTAGGTTGCAAGCACCTTTAACTACTGAGTCTGAGCAAAATACTTTTCACTATCAAAAACCAGTATAATGTTATATATGTGTAATACGTATTGTATGTATAACATTATGTATATGTATTATGTGTTGTATTTATAACAGTCTTAAGTGCCTAAGTGTTCACTGGACTGTTGATTCTGAACTGTTATAGACTTATAATTATCATAATTATCATCCTTGATGTTTAGCCTAGCTCTTCTGAGTTCCATTCTATAGGTTAGATTCTAATTATGCCTTTTGTTATTTAAAAATAAGGGAGAGCTGCTCTGTGGTGCGGCATGCCTTTAATTCCAGCACTCAAGAGGCAGAGGCTGGCAGATCTCTGTGAGTTTGAGACCAGCCTGGTCTACAAGAGCTGTTACATCTGGCCTGAATTCAGTTTTTTTGTTTTGTTTTTTGTTTTTGTTTTTGTTTTTTTTTAATAAAGGAAACAGACCAAAAAACCTGAAACAGTCACTTAGCCAGCCAAGTGGTTCAGGGGGTATTTTACGTTTTCTTTACTCCTTCACTTGAGAGGCATGCAGGTGGAGCTCTATAAGTTTGAGACTAGCCTACGTAGCAAATCCCAGGTAAGTAGAACTGTATACACCATGAGAGCCTGTCTTGAGATTCTGAACAAAGTCTAAAAGTATAAAATTGTAAGATTAGGTTTAAGAGACTCAGAACTTAGAATATTGTGTAGAGCCTCCAGCACAGGTCTGTTCTTTATACTCACAGCCCTATTTTACCCAAAAAAAGTCCCGATGGCCCCAGGTATATATACATATAAAATAGGTACATGTCAGAGAGGGCACAGTGAAACCACCAAACTGGACCACTCCATGGGCATAGACAGGCTATCTTGGGGCAGAAAATAGCAACTTCATAGTCAGTAGGGTGCAGGCTGTTTGGATTAGCTGAGAGCTAAATCCCCTTACCTAACATAGTTGACCATTGTAGGTCTGGTGAGATGGGAGAAGTAGTGTTCTTCCTGGTAAACAGAGACCTGCCTTGTGAGAGTCCTGAGGAGTGACAAAGTTTGGGTTTCTGTTAACAATATTATCACCAGCGCTGCCACTTTGGAGTTCCCTTGAGTGACTGGAGAGATGGCCCACTGGTTAAGAACACCTCCTGATCTTCCAAAGTCCAGACTTTTATTCCCTGCACCCCAGCTTTAGCCACCTGTAACTCCAGTTTCAAGGGACCCATTGCCCTCTTCTGGCCTCTGCAAGTACCAAGCATTTGTGTGACACCATATTCACACAAAACACATAAAATTAATAAATCTTTTTGTTTTGTTAAGTTTTCATATGATGTGTCTGCATGAGTACAAGTGCCTTTGCATTTATGGAAGAAAGAAAGCAACTTTGGTGTGAATTCTTTCTTACCATAAGCTCCAGGGTACCCAGGGCTGCAGACATATTACCTGCATAGCCAGGGCTGTTGTTAAATGAATAAAAGAAAAAGACCTGAAATGGAAGTTCTTTTTGTGAAATTGTTAAAGAATATCAAATAACCTCTTTTTAAAGGGGATTTCCAGAATTTTAAGATTTATTTATTTTTATTTATGTAAAATTGCAGGTGCTCATGAGTCCCAAGAGTAACTGCAGAGGACAGAGGAGGTTACCAGATCCTTACCAGTTGCAGACATAGGTGGCAGGAATCAAACTCAGGTCCTCCCTAGACATCAGGCAGTGCTGTTAACTGCCTAGTCTTCTTCCTAGCACCAAGCTTTTTAAGTGCATTTTTAGGCTGCTTTTTCTCTCTTTGTTTATTCATTGTAAAGGGGCTAACGCATGCATGTTGAGGACAATGGACAGTGCTCAGAAGTTGATTCTCCCTCGACAGTACAATTCCCAGAGGCCTAACTCCGCTTGTCAGTCTTGGCAGGAAGTACCTTTACAGATTGAAACACCTTGCCTGATACAGTCTATTTTCATTTGACCTCAAGAAGAAATTTAATTGCCTTTGTTTCTTATTCTTTTTTTCATCACAGCCCAAAGAGCCGATTAATCCAATTAAAGAAAGAGAAGCTGGAATATACTCCAGGAGAGAATGAATATGGATTATTCCCAGCACCAATTCATGTTGGTGAGTATGGAGTCCACATAATTTATTGATAAGAATAAATTGTATACGTTAAATTTAGGGGACGTGCCTGTGTTCTTTGTTCTACTGGGTTCAAGTTCTTTTCCGTTTATTTACAAAAAATTCCCAAGAATTTTCAGCAAGGATGTGGGGCTGTAGCTCAATTGGTAGAGTATGCTTAACAAAAATAAAACATGAATTAGATCCCCAGTAAGTACCGCATGAACTAGGCAAAGAACATGCATGTAAGATTGGCACTCAAGGTGAAGGCATGGAGATCAGAGGATTAAGGACATCCTCAGTTACACAGTAAATTGGAGGTCAGCCTGGGATACATGAGACTCTGTGTGAATGGGGGGACGGGGAGGAAGGGAAAAATATCTGTACATCAACCCTGGTTTTCTTGTTTTTAATCATGGTGTTAACTAAGTAATGGGCATTATTCCTTTTCTTCCAAATAAGAATCTTGACATTCTTTAGGTAGATCTTAATTTTTTTATTGTTGCTTATTTGTTTGGGAGTTTACTTTTGTTGTTTTAAGATAAAATATTATGTAATCTAGACAAGCTTCAATTGATAGATAAGACTCCTGACCTTCCTGACTTTATCACAAATTCTAGGATTGTAGGCTGCACACACTCCTGGTCTTCATCTCACTTTTCAGAAATTACTTACTATTTCTGGCTTCAGGGAAGGGAATGGCAGGTTGTCTTGGTTGCTTTTTCTGAGGCTGTGGTAAATGCTATAGGAAATGCAACATGAGGGAGAAAGGGCTTACTTTGGCTCACTGTCTACGATGTATGTACTCCATCAGTGCCAGTCCTGCCCACAATTAAGATAGGTAGGGTTAAGAGCACTGCCTGTTCTTCCAGAGGACTCCAGTTAAATTCCCAGCACCCACAAGGCAGCTCACACCTGTCTATAACTCCAGTTTCAGGGAACCCCAACACCCATGGCAAAAATACACACGTAAAAAGTAAACTATAATAAAATTTTTTAAAAAGATTGATCTTCCCACATTAAATTAATATTATCAATATAAACCCCAACAGGCATGCCTAAGGGCCCAACCTCAGATGAGTCTTCATTGTGTCAAGTTGAAAATGAACACTAATGTCATAACTCTACCATTTGTCAACATGGCATCTATATGCAGATCACTTTTAAACTATTCCTTTTGCCCATAGGCTCATTACTGTATAATAATGTAAAGTGCATTCAGTCCAACTTTAGAAATCTGCAGAGTTTTTAAAAATTGTAGCACATTAAAAGTCAGTTTCTAGCCGGGCAGTGGTGGCATACAACTTTGATCCCACTGTGGAGGCAGAGGCAGGCAGATTTTTAGTTCGATGCCAGCCTGATCTATATAATGAGTTCCAGGACAGTTGGGTCAACATTTACAAACTCTGTTTAAAAAAAAAAGTCAGTTTCTAGCCAGGCATGATGACACACACCTTTAATATTGGTACTTTGGAAGAAGAAGCAAATGACTTTCTGTGAGGTCAAAGTCAGCTATTGCTATACAGTGAGACCTTATCTCAAAAAAAAACATTCTTTAGCTATGAACTCCAATTAAAAAAAACAATTTACATACACATATTTCCAACATTAACAGCACAGAATAAACATTCCTGTTTTAAAAAGAAAGAACTCAGACATAGCAAGGAACAATCAACCAAAGCAAAATAAAAATCTAGCAGAGCAAATACCAAATCCTATAGTATCATGTCTGTCATTTGGGACTCATAATATAGTCAGCTGATCTACAAAAAGCTTGGGTAGCCCCAACCTCTAATCTCTACTACAAGCAGCACACTTAGATTCTTTTATGGGCTGGCTTATCCCATGGTCTAGGTGTTTTCCAATTTCCTGGAGTCTTCCATTTCAATTTAGGTTTCATCTTCATAACTTGAAACACTGGCTTCTTGTAAGAATGCCAACCTTACAACACATTCCCAGGCTGAAGCTGCTCTCTGAAATCACACAGAAAATTCCATGACCTAGCTTCCTTACCTTCAAAACCAGTAACAAATGAACAACCCTTGTTCCACTCTGAAACCTTATGAGCCTGGCCTCCACTGTTCACATTTCTCATCATTAAAGCTCCTACATGAATCAGGACAATCTGCTTCTGGCATGCCAGAGCTCTGCTACAGTCCAGCCAGAAAACAGTGTGTGTGCGTGTTTGGGGATGTGGCTGGGTTATTTTGCTTTGGTTTTGGTTTTGATTTTTTTGAGACAGAATTTCTCTGTAACAGTCCTGTCCTGGAACTTGCTTTGTAGACCAGGCTGGCCTCAAACTCAACAGAGATCTGCCTGCCTCTGCCTCTTGAGTGCTGGGATTAAAGACGTGCACCACCACTCTCTCGCTCAGAAAACAGTTGTATTATCCAAAAACCACATGGTCAGGTTTATCACAGCAGCTGCCCCACTTGTAAGTACTAGGGTTTTTTTGTTTGTTTTATTGTTTTTCAAAAGTGATTGGTTGGCTATTTTTGGCTCTTTAAACTATTCATAGGTTTCCCCCTGCTTTCCTTTTCCCAATAGAGCAGCAGTTCTCAATCTGTGGGTCTCTAGATATCCTGCATATCAGATATTTCCATTACAATTCATAACACTAGCAAAATTTCAGTTGTGAAGTAGCAATGAAATAATTTTATAGTTGAGGGTCACCACAGCATGAGGAACTGTATTAAAGCGTTGATACAATAAGGTTGAGAACTACTGCTCTAGAGTCTACAACAATAGTAATATCTATTCAGCCCTACTTGTTTGTCTACATGCCTGTTATTGCAACCTAGTCCTTTCAAAGGAACCATGTCCTCATTTACCACAGTGAAGATTTGACCTATGGGCTCTTCAGGAGGCAACCGCATATCCATTTATTTATTTTTAATTACCTCTTTATGGGGTGTGTGTGTGGCTGTGTGGGTTTATGTGTGCCACTTGTATAAGGTGTCAGTGGAAGCCAAAGAGCATCAGATCTCCTAGAAGTAGAGTTACAGAAGCTTGTGTAGCATCTGATATTGGTGCTTGTAACCAAGCCTGGGTCCTCTGAGAGGACGACATGCTCTTAACTGCTGAGCCATCTATATCCCCCAAAGATAGCTTGTGAACATTGTTTTTTTTTGTTTGTTTGTTTTGTTTTACCTTATTCTTTGACATAGGGTCTAATTATGTAGTCATGAGTGGCCTAGAACTCAATAGGAATCTGCCAGCCTCTGCCTCCCAAGAGCTGAGATTAAAGGCGTGTACCACAACCACTGCTGATTTAATATAGTTTCACGTACCTCTGGCCCCTGGACATCCATTGCTTTTCTAAGACTTTCAATATATTCTGCTGACTCCCATTTCAATTGAGCCATCAGTACTTTGCTTTTCATCTCTATCTGAGAGGAATTTTATTCCATTCTGACTAGTGTAGATTTTGCCCTCTGAGAAAAAGTTGAGCATATGTTGCAGTCCTTATGTTTGAATGAGATAAACATTACCCAGGTCATCTCCTAGTATTTACCAGCTCAGGTCATGCTCAGGTTGCGGTGGAACGTCTTCATGTAGGTGATTTTATACCTAACAGTCATACAGACACACTCTTTTCTGCAGTTGTCATCATTGCACACTTAGACTGAGAGCAGTGTGAGTACTTCTAAGGAAGCCTGCGTCAGCTCTAGAGCCTTGATCCTGTGAAAATGGGGTGGGGTGGGGGCTGTGAGCAGAATGCTGGTTTTGAGGTCAGTTTGACTAGATGTAAATTATTCCTCCTGTAAAGAAAATCAGTTTTTAAAGTACTTCAGAACTTTTCTGTCTCTCTTTACATTTTCTAGAGAAAACATGTATTACTGGCAAATAATAGAAGCTACCGTTCTCAGAAAAAGTTTGGTCTCTCTGTCTCAAAAAACAGACAAAAGAGTAAAGCCAGGCATGGTGGTTCACGCCTTTAATCTCACACCTAGGAAGCAGAGGTGGGCAAATTTCTGTGAGTTCAAGGCCAGCCTGGTCTGCATGGTGAGTTCTAGGACTACATAGTGAGACTCTGTTTCAAAAGTTTATTCCCCCTTCTAGTGTTAAAATTTTTATAGTTACTCTCAGTATTAAAAGTCAGCAGGAGCCAGGCATTGGTGGTGCACACCTTTAATCCCAGCACTTGGGAGACAGAGGTAGGTGGATCTCTGTGTTTGAGGCCAGCCTGGTCTACAGGGCTAGTTCTAGGACAGCCCGGGCTACATAGAGAATCCTAGTCTGGGGTTTGGGGGGAAGCAGAATCTAGGGATGTGGCTTAGCTACTGAAAGCACCCACACCCCCAAACCTTAGTCCAATATCAAGGACCTACCTACATAGTTAAAGTGGAAAACTGACCTCTACACATGCACTATGGGGTGTGTTCACAAACACACACACACTAAGTAGGTTGGTGTGAGGCAGGGGTCTTAATAAAAATAAAAAACTTAAGTTTAGGTAGCTGGTGGCTGGAGAGATGGCTCAGAGTTTAAGAATGCTTCCTGATTATATGAGTTCAGTTCCCTGCAGCTGTGCCAGATGGATCACAGCTACCTGTAATTCTAGCTCCAGGAGATTTGGCACCCTCTTCTGGCTCTTCAGGCACCTGCACACAAATGGTATACACATACTCAGACTCACAAATGCACACATATAATAAGAGAGGCAGAAACAGGCAGATCTCTGTGAGTTTGAGGATAGCTTTGTCTACGTCTCACGTTCCAGAATAGCCAGACTACATTAAGAAACCCTGTCTCAAAAACAACAATGCATATACACAGGCAAATAAACTAAATATTTTTAATTAAAAAAAATGTTAAAGCCGGGCGTTGGTGGTGCACGCCTTTAATCCCAGCACTGGGAAGGCAGAGGCAGGCAGATCTCTGTGAGTTCGAGGCCAGCCTGGTCTACAGAGTGAGTTCCAGGACAGTCTCCAAAACAATACAGAGAAACCCTGTCTCGAAAAACCAAAAAAAAAAAAGTTAAGTGTTAGCAGTTGGGCTGCTAAAATCTAGTTGTGTGGTATATTCATGAATGTCAGAAGCTCAAAGTCATCTTCAACTACATAGCTAGTTGCCTTCCAGCTTGAACTAAAAAGAAACTTTATCTTGAATGAAAAAAAAAGCAAAGCAATGAAAAAAATTAGTAGCTGGGTTTTTCTGCATCTACATGAAATCCCATCACTTAAGAGGCAAAGGCGGGAGGAGATCATTATGGGCTCTAGTGTAATCAGTTTTACCCAGTATTGCTTTTACATAATTAGTGTCAATATCAGCATAATGAAAAAGGTGTAATAACAACTCCATAATATTATTGAAGTAGTTTTGACCTTTCACACCCTCTGGAGGCAATAGAGCACTATTCTAAGTCAAAACTGCTGGTTTAGGGACAAATAAAAGCACAAATAGCCTAATACAAAGCAGGAAAATATATGTCATCAAACCTAAAAGTTAAGTCTTGATCAAGGAAGTTGAAAGGACAAAAGACCATATAGAGTAAGGAAGTTGGAAAAGCCATCTTAAGGTAAAGAGGGACTTTGGAAGTGGTAGTTCCATATGGGTAGTGGTGGTAGTGGTGGTGTACTCTTTTAATCCCAGCTTTTGGGAGGCAGCGCCAGGTAGATCTCTGAGTTCAAGGCTAGTCTGATGAGCTTCAGGACAGCCACCAAAAAAAAGAAAAGAATAAGAAAAACCCAGCAGGGGGAAGGGTCTAGGCCCTGCCCTATATGAAATGACAGACTATGGACACCCCCATGGAGGGCCTCACCCTCCCTGGGGAAATGAGGGGATAATGGGGGGGCTTGGGGGGAGGGCATGGGAAAGGGGAGGGAAAGGGAGAGGGACCTGGAACTGACTTGTGAAGCAACCTTGTTTCTTATCTAAATTTAAACTGAAAAATAAATAAAAAAAGAAAAAAAAAGAAAAACCCAGCAGGTGCCATTACCATGAACAGGTGGAGAAATGGGAGAGAAGGGGAAGCAGAGTGGTTGGTGTGTTATGGAGAGAAGCCAGTCTGAAGATGTGACGGCTGTAAGGAATAGGATGCCACCTGGTGCCATATGATATCTGGGCCATGCTGCTACCAGGACAATACTAACCTCATGAGGCCTACGATGCCACATGAGGCCATGGTGACATCACATCCAGCATGACCTGCAGCTGAGGGCCATGTCTGGGTCCGTGGCCCTACTGCAGCCATGTGCTGTACTCTATGGCCGTTGTTATCACCGGGGACCATAGGAGAGCTGGCCCTTGTGGCCTCTGCATCAGAGATCTGGCCTTGACCCCTCCTGAGAGAGGCAGTAACAGTTGAGTCCCAGACTAACTAACCCAGCTACCACCCACACTCTTATCAAGGGCTTTGAGCTGGTCAACCCCAACATTTACCCTAACTACGACATGCTGGAGCATGTGAAGTGACCAGTGCTGCAGAACCATTACCACAGGGTCTCCATGACTCCTGGCAACAGTAGGATATCTTTAAGAAGTTCTGGTGAGTGTCCAGCATTGATGGTGTACCAGAAGCCAGAACCAGGCCAACAATGCATTGCAAGGAACATTTACCCCACAGCTCTCAAGACCACTACAACAAGTGAATATGTGATGGGGAGGCAGGAAATAAGGAGGAATGAACTGGTGGTCTTGTTTTGTTTGTGGGGGGCATTGGGGAGGCTACAAGGGTAGAAGGTGGACATGGAAGGACTGGGAAATGAGTGGGATTGGGGTGCATGATATGAAAGTCCCAAATAATCAATAAAGAAATTATGTTAAAAAGAAAGTAGTAGTTCAATATATGGGGGAAAAGTTAATAAGATCTCAAATTCTCATGTACTTACCCCTAGCCCTGGCTGTCCTGGAATTCATTGTATAGACCAGGCTGGCCTCAAACTTATAGAGATCTGCCTGCCTCTACCTTCTAAGTGCTGGGATTAAAAATGGGTGTACTTAGTTTTTAAAGACTTTTTGTTTTGTTTTTTTGAGACAGTGTTTCTCTGTATATCCCTGGCTATCCTGGAACTCGATCTGTAGATCAGTCTGTCCTCAAACTCACAGAGATCTGCCTGCCTCTGCTTCCCAAGTTCTGGGATTAAAGTTGTATGCCACTACCACCCATTAAGACTTTCTAATTTTAATTATGTATGTGTCTGTGTCTGTGTCTGTGTGGATATAATTCATGTTCAGCAGCCAGAAAAAGCTGTTAGATCTTGTGAACCTAGAGTTACAAGCAATTGTGAGCCACCTACCATGGATACTTAGAACAAACTCTAGGGAGGGCAGTCTTAACCGATGACCCATCTCCCCAACCCTCTGTGTGGTCTCTTCCTCCCCTTCCCCCTCCCCCTTTAAACTGTTTTGTATGTTGTGTTTGTATATGTGAAGTGTGTTCCTGAGTGCCCCTGTAAGCATGTAAAATCAGAGGAACCAGACATGGTGGCCCACACCTTTAATCCTAAAGGAGGTAGAGGCAGGTGGATCTCTGAATTTCAGAACAGCCAGGGCTATGAAGAGAGATCCTATCTCTAAAAACCACTGTATGTATGTTTGTATGTGTGAATGTATGTATTAAAAAGTCAGAGGCAATCTTTGAGGAGCTGGTTCTTCCTCCATGGATTCTGGAAACCATTACATTGGATGACATGTATTCTTCAGTTATATAAATTCAAGGATGTCCCTTTTCATTATCTTTCTATTGTGTTGCTTAATTTGGGGGGGGGGTACGGGGAATATGTGTTTTACAGTGCTGCCTAGAAGCCAAAGAACAATTTGTAGGAGTCCATTCTGTCTCTTTCTAGCATGTGAGTTCCAGGGATCAGACTCAGGTGGTCAGGCAGGGAACTATCCAAGAACCAGTCTGGATTTTCACCCCTCCCTTAGATTTTGTTGTTGATGTTGTTATGTGTATGAATATTTTACCTGCATGGATATATGTGCATCATGTGTATACCTGGTGCCTGCTGAAGTCAGAAGAGGGCATCAGCTCCCTGCAACTTGAGTAATGGTTGTGAACCCTGTCCTCTGCAAGAGCTCTTAACCACTGAACCTTCTCTCTAGCCCAATTTCCCCTTTTTTGTAGCATTAGGCTCTATGTAATAATGAAGGAGAGCAAGTGTCAGGTACTTTGTGATTATAACTTTAATAATCAAAAACTTCTTAGTGTCTTAATTTCATAGTGACTTAAAGTTTTTAGTTGTAATTTTGCTTTGTTTTCTAGAAATGACTATACATTTAAAATATATTTTGCATAGCCAGGCTGTGGTGCATGCCTTTAGTCCCAGTACTTGAGAGGCAGAGGCAGGTAAATCTCTGAGTTCAAGGCCAGCCTGGTCTACAGAGCAAGTTCCTGGACAGCCAGAGCTATACAGAGAAACCCTGTTTTGAAAAGACACCTCCCCCCCACCAAAAAAAAAATGTGTGTGTGTGTGTTCATATATATATTGCATGTAACTATTTGCTGTCTTTGGTGTGCATATCAGATTAGTTGTTGAAATTGACTGTTTTTTATAACAGGAAAGTACCTAAGACAGAAGAGAATTGATTTCCAGCTCCCCTATGACATCCTCTGGCAGTGGAAACACAACCAGGTACAAAGGCCTCTTTTACCGGTTTTTCTTTTAAGTGGTAAGGATTGGGGAACAGGGCGTGCTCTTTGTCATATCTTAGGATATACAGAAACCTGTTCTTGTGTACTCATACTTCGTAATACAGTGAGTTTCTGTTTCATTGTGCAACCTTCTGTTCTTATTCTGAGCTTTTGTTTTGGTAGCAAAGATTTTGTGCTGTAAGAATTCTATTTCAGCCAGGCGTTGGTGGCATACGCCTTTAATCCCAGCTATCAGGAGGCAAAGTCAGGCAGATCTCTGTGAGTTTGAGACCAGCCTGGTCTAACAGAGTGAGTTCCAGGACAGCCTCCAAAGCCACAGAGAAACCCTGTCTTGGGGGGGGGGGATTCTATTTCATGCAGGTCTCAGGAAAATGAAGATGTACTGCCAACAACACTTAAAAAAAAAATCAGGCCTTAATTAAGTTAGAGGTTCCAGGCCCAATCTTAAGAGCAGCCAGTGGGAGACGGAAGTAGTCATACAAATGAAATAACTTACAACATGTTTTTCTGAGTTTAGCTAAAATGCTGTCAAAAGCTAACTTTGGCAGGTGTGGTGACGCACATCTTCAATTCCAGTAGTCAGGAGGCAGAAACAAGTGGATTTCTGTGAGTTCTAGGCCTCTACACTAGAGCTGCATTGTAAGACACTGTTTCTAAACAAAAGTTAACTTTGAAAAACCAAAACCAGTTCAGTCTCCTCTGCCTCCTGTTCTCTGATGATCTCTGTTGAATTCTTTGTTTGTTTGTAGACAGGGTTTCTAAATAGCCATGGCTATCCTGGATCTTGCTCTGTAGACCAGGCTGTCCTCCTTCACCTCAGTGATCTGCCTGTCTCTGCCTCTGGAGTGCTAGGACTAAAGGTTGTGTACCACCATCTGAACTCTGTGAATTCTTTAAAATATGTTGGATATTTGGGTCTGTTTTTATTAAGTTTGGTTGAATACTTTTATTTTGTTTTTGAGACAAAGTTTTTTGTCTCCTTTTTACTTACAGAGATGGGGATTTCAATGTGGACTGAAAAAATATGATAAATCCTGACACATTACTAAATGTTGGAGTTTAGTTCAAATTGCTGTTTCTTTTGCAGCACACTTATTTTCAAATGTGGGAGCTCTCTCAGTGTTTCAGATTACCCAAGCTGGCCTTGAACCTGGCCTACCAACTCCAGTTCTCCTGCTTTCATATCCATAGTGCTGGAATCACAGATATGCACCAATAGCACATTCTGTTTGTTGGTTAACCACCCTAATGAAAATCTTAATGTTGATTGCCTGAGATTCCCAGCCAATGAGTGTGATGGCTGAGAGGCCAGCTAATCTTTCTATTTTCATACGAGTACATAGGGTTTTGTAGTTCTGTGGAGGGCTTGAACACATATTGTACCACAGACCTTTACTCCTACCACTTTCCTTTCTGTTGATAGAAACAAATAGAATCTTAAGTTACCCAAGTGAGTAGCTTTGAGTCTTTTCAATAGTTATCCAGCAGCACAATTTTTAAAAAAATTGGGCCAGGCATGGTGGCACACGCCTTTATTCCCAGCACTCGGGAGGCAGAGGCAGAGGCAGATGAATCTCAGAGAGTTCCAGGACAGCCAGGACTGTTTCACAGAGAAAACCTGTCTCAAAACAAACAAACAAAAAACCCAAAAATACATTGTTGTAACTCAGATGTTATTTATACATGCCTATAATCCTAGCACTCAGAAAAGAATATAGCAGGAGAACCAAAAATTTCACATAGAAAATTACAGTCCATCCCAGACTGCATAGATGCTTTCTTAAAAAAGAAATATGGTAATTTTATAAACTATTAAATGCTTATTAATTCTATTTCTCTGTCACCATTTTTTTTCTGTGGGGGGAAAATCACTGAGTTTCCTTCAGTCATATCTGAATCTGAAAGGCGAAAAGGATTTACAGTGTAGCTTGTGCTCTCAGTGATCCTCCTGCCTCATCTTCCCAAATCTTAGGAGGATGGAGGTAATCCATCGTGCCAAATTCCCACGAGTAGTTCTGTATGACCATAATGCCTTCCTGTATTAGAGATTGATGTCACACTGTCATTTGAAGCAAAATGCTATATCAACATTTTTTTTTCTTCTAGCTATACAAAAAGCCAGATGTCCCCCTCTATAAAAAAATCCGTTCAAGTGAGTAATTTAGAAGCTGTTTTTTTCTCTGACTTCAAAATGTCAGTGTTCCTCCTGTCTTGACACTTGATAAATAATTCTATATGTTCAAAAACTTTTATTTGCTGTCTTCTCAAGATGTCTACGTTGATGTCAAACCTCTTTCTGGTTATGAGGCTACCACCTGTAATTGTGAGAAGCCAGATGACGACACCAGGAAGGGCTGTGGGGATGACTGCCTCAATAGGTACTGTAGCTATTCCTCTAACGCCTAAGTTCTAAGAGGCTGTGTGTGTATGTAACAACTTCTTTATTTTTTCCTCTAAACACTGAACACTGATACCAATGGACTGAATATAGTGTCAGAAAGAGTCTTATGTACCAAAATTTAAGTTCCTTCACTATTTCTTAACCACTGAGCCCTGTCTCCAGCTGAAGCATAGTTAATTTCTCTGATACAAATGTCACCTTCTCTGGGGGAAGTTCTCAGGATGATATGAGATGATGTAATCTATTAATAAGCAAAGTCTTAGCCAGGTGGTGGTGGCATATGCCTTTACTCCCATCACTCAGGAAACAGAGAGAGGTGAGTCTCTGTGAGTTCAAAGCCAGCCTGGTCTACAGAGCTAGTTCTGGGACAGGCTCCAAAACTACAGAGAAACTTGTCTCGAAAAACCAGAAAATCAAAAGAAAAACAATGATACTAAAGTCTTAAGTGCCTTCTTACCTTTCAGCACATGGTGGACCATAATGAGGAAAACTATGTTAATAAACTATTAGCGTAGATGAGCAAACACATGATCTGTGACCACTAATGCATGAGATGGTAAAAAAAACTCAGAGGTAGAGAGATTCTTATTTTTAGTGGGAACTGTTTTCAGTTGGGTTAGAATACTGCTCCTCCTGCCCAAGTGCGGAAGTTGTAAGACTACACCACCAGCCTCTATTAGGCATAAAATAGAAATGCCTAATAGAGGAAAATGCATAAAGATAGAATTAGTTGGTTTTAGTAATGCAGAAAAGTGTACAGAAAATTAAGAACTTAATGTTCTGAATATGACAGTACACACCTGTTAATCTCAGCACTGGAAGGTAAGACAGCAGGAACCACAACAAATTATAGCCACCCTTGTCTACAAGGTAAGTTCTGGGACAGCTGGGGCTACATAGCTAAACACTGTCATGAAAAACCAGAACCACCAGTAGTTTTTCCCTCAGTTATCCTAGCCAAAGATAACTGCTTCTGAAGTCTCCAGGTCAGCTGCCCTGTCAGCTGGAGGGATTAGTTTTAACTGCCAGCTGGGAATCGTTCCTGGCTTATATTACTATACATGCATATAATATATTGTGTATATAAATGTAGTTTTGTATATTGATAATACTGAACGTGCAGACAGTGGGCTTTTAGAGAAGATTTGTTTACTTATTTTTCTGTCTGTGTGTATATGCCTGTGTGAGTTTATGTGTACCACATGCATGCAGGAACTGACAAAGATCAAAAGATGGCATTGCCTTCCTTGGAGTTGAGTTACAGGTGGTTGTCAGCCTTCCTGTGGGTACTGGTAATTGAACCCCATCCTTGGCCAGAACAAGCAAGCAAGTGCTCTTAATCACTGAGCCAAAGATCGTGTGGGGGTGGGATGGGGTGTGTGTGTCTGTGTATGTGTGGTACTGACTTTTTTCACTTTCAGTATTTTGTTTTTTTATTTATTTTTGAGACATGGCCTTATCTTGTAGCTCAGTCTATGCTAATACTATTAGCCGGGCGTTGTTGATACACACATTTAATTCCAGCACTCGGGAGGCAGAGGCAGGTGGATCTCTGTGAGTTTGAGACCAGCCTGGTCTACAAAGTGAGTTCCAGGACAGCCTCCAAAACAATACAGAGAAATCAAGTTTCAAAAAACAAAACAAAACAAAAAAACCACTATTTAGTCCAAACTGGCCTCAAACCCAAAGCATTCTTTTTGCCTTGGCTTTTTTTTTTTTGTGAAAGTCTCATGCTTTATGTTAATAACCATGCCCAGCTACTTATAAATATTTCAAATGTATAGTTTTTATATATCAATGTAGTCTGCAAGCTATCACTTTCAGGAACTTTCTATCATCCATCAAGTTGATAGATCACAGAGTTGTCCTCATCTCTTTTGGACATCTAATTTATTTTCAGTGTTTTACTATTTAAATTGTCACAGAGAAAATCTGTCTCAAAAACAAAACAGATGAGCAGTCTCGCCAGCCATAAATAAAGCCGGGTGGTGGTGGTGTACACTTAATCCAAGCAATCAAGAGGTGGAAGCCAGCCTGGTCTACAGAGTGAGCTCCAGGACAGCCTGGTCTACAGAGTGAGCTCCAGGACAGCCTGGTCTACAGAGTGAGCTCCAGGACAGCCTGGTCTACAGAGTGAGCTCCAGGACAGCCATGGCTACACAGAGAAACCCTGTCTCAAAAACAACAAAAGTCACACCTGGGGCTGGAGAGATGGCTCAGAGGTTAACAACCTATTAACTCCAGTTCCAGTGGACTCTGACTTGATGGACACCAGACATGCACCTTGTTCACATATATTTGTGAAGGCAAAATACATATAAAATAAATAAAAATGAAACATCTTTTAAAATGTTTTATTTTGTTTTTTGAGACAGTGTTTCTCAGTAGCTTTGGAGCCTGTCCTAGAACTCACTCTGTAGACCAGCCTGACCTAGAACTTACAGTGATCCACCTGTCTCTGCCTCCTGAGTACTGGGATTAAAGGCATGGAGCCACCAGTGCCCGGCTTGGTAATTTTTTTTTATTCATTTATTTATTTTACAGCCTTGCTGCAGCCTTCCCTCCATTCTCCCCTCCCAGTCCCTCTCCCTCCATTTTCCCCCTCCTAACTCCCAATCTCCTCCTCTTGTGTCTCCATCCAGAAAAGGACAAGTCTCCTATGAGTATCATTAAAGCATAGCATATCAAGTTGCAGTTAGATTAATCACGTCCCCATATATTAAGACTAGGCAAGGCAACCCAGTTTGAGAAGTAGGGTCCCAAAAACCAGTAAAAGAGTCAGAGCCCCACCCTGTTCCCGCTGTTAGGAGTCCCATAAGGGGATCAAGCTACAAAAGTATACCATATGTGCAGAGTACCTAGGTCAGTCTCATGCAGATTCCCTGATGGTCGATTCAGTCTCTTTGAGCCTCTATGAACCCAGGTTAGTTGATTGTGTGAGAACCTCCTTCCTTCCTTCCTTCCTTCCTTCCTTCCTCCCTCCCTCCCTCCCTCGCTCCCTCCCTCCCTCCCTCCCTCCCTCCCCGTCTTGTTGGTTTTTCAAGACAATTACTGCCCAGCTGGAGAAACCACATCTTGGAGAAGGGGATAAGAGCAAATTTTAAAACTATATCAAATATTTTGATACAGTTGTGGCTGTTTTGCATTTTGACATTTTTATTCATATGCATGGGTGTTTTATCTGCATGTATGTATGTATGTATGTATGCATACCAAATGCATGCCTGGTGCACTATAGGCCAGAAGAGGATGTGGAATGTCCTGGAACTGGAGGCCAGGTTTTCTGCAAGGGCAGCTAGTGCTCATGACTGCTGAGCCATCTTTCTAGCCCCATAATTGTAGCTTCTTATAATTGGTCTTGGATTTTCTGTATTACTTCCTGTTCCTAAATTTTGAGAATTTGACTTGGTTAATTTGTTTTTGTCTGATATTTATGTTTTATATTTTTTGGCTTTTGCATGGAGGTTTTTGTTTTGTTTTTTACATTCCATCCACAGTTGCCCCTCCCTCTGCTTCTCCTCTCTCCCACCCTCCATCCACTCCTCAGAAAGGGTGAGGCCTCCCATGGGAAGTCAACAAAACCTGGCACATCAAATTGAGACAGAACCCAAGCCCCTCCCCTCTGCATCAAAGCTGAGCAAGACATCCCACCACAGGGAATAGACTCCAAAAAAGTCAGCTCAGGCACCAGCAATAGATCCTATTCCCACTGCTAGGAGCCCCACAAGCAGACCAAGCTATATAACTGTGTCCCACATGTAGAGGGCCTAGTTGCAGGCTCCAGCTTTCAGCCCAGAGTCCATGAGCTCCCATGAGCTTGAGTCAGCTGTCTCTGTGGATTTCCCCATCATGATCCCTCCTCCCTCTCTTCAACTGGACTCCCAGGGCGTCGGCCCAGTGCTTGGAATAGATCTCTACATCTGCTTCCATCAGATGAGTTACAGTTCTATGAAGACAATTGGGGTTGTCACCAGTTTGATTACAGAAGAAGGCCAGTTCATGCACCTCCATATTGCTAGGAGTCTTAGCCAGGAACATTCTTAAGGATTCCTGGAAATTTCCCTAGCACCATGTTTCTCCCTAACCCCATAATAGCTCTTTCTGTCAAGATATCTTTCATTGCTTTCCCTCTCTGTTCCTTCCCTAACTTTACCATCCTGTTACCTCATGTTCTCATTCCCCATCCTCTCCTCTCCATTCCCCACCCGCTTCCACACACACACACACACCCTCAAGCACCACTGTCCCCAGTTTACCTAGGGCAATCCATGCATACCTCTGAGGGTCCTCCTTGTTAGCTAGCTTCTCTGGGGCTATGGATTGTAGCCTAGTTGTCCCATGATTTACATCTAATATCCATGTATGAGTGAGTACATACTGTGTTTATCTTTCTGAGTCTGGGTTACCTCACTCACCTCTAAGGACATAGAAAAGAGGGAGCTAAGCCAGGAGTGATCCTTCCTGGCAAGATTCTGTACTGTCCTAGCAACACCAAAAATAAATAAATAAATAAATAAGATGGGACCAAGTTGCCTTAAGATGTAACCACAAAATTGACATTTGAACATTCACCCTATTAAATACATTGGTTGTTTTATATCATTTTTGTTGGCATAAGTATTACTTATATTTTTCACATTATGCTGGCCTGTATTCAGTCCTACCAAACCTACTTAAACCATAACCACCAGAAAATAACCCTGAGACAATGTTGTCAATGAATGCAATGGGAGGCTATTTACTGCAAAGAAATCAATTATGATAAATGACAAGATGAAGAATGTGATAAACTGATAAATGCATAAAAATTAAGAAAAAATCAAAGTTATTACTTAATATATCCCTACTTAGATTGTTCAAATGACCCTTATTAAGTTTCCATTAAATGGAGCTGTCTAACACATGTGACTTTGTGTTATGTTTTCATATTTAAAGTTGTGAAAGTAGTTAGTGATAGCAGTAATCTTTGGTTAGTTGTTTTGTTGGGTTTTTTAGACAGGGTTTCTCTGTGTAAGAGTCCTGGCTATCCTGGAACTCACTCTGTAGACCAGGTGGCCTCTAACCCAGAGTTCCGCTTGCCTCTCCCACCACACTGGGGTATAACGCAGGAATCTTAAAGTGTGTACAAAATTAATCCTTTGTTGTTGTTATTGTTGCTGTTGCTATAGACTGTATTGCCCAGGCTGACATAGAACTCAGGTATCTGCCAACCTCTGCCTCCTGAGTGTTGACATTAAGAAGATATGTGCCGGGCCGGGCGTTGGTGGCGCACGCCTTTAATCCCAGCACTCGGGAGGCAGAGGCAGGCGGATCTCTGTGAGTTCGAGGCCAGCCTGGTCTACCGAGCGAGTTCCAGGACAGCCTCCAAGCCACAGAGAAACCCTGTCTCGAAAAACCAAAAAAAAAAAAAAAGAAGAAGAAGAAGATATGTGCCGCTGCACCCTGCCAATAGGATCAGTCACCACATTGCTGAATTGTATTTATTTGTAAGTGGCCCTGTAAAAGATGTTATTCAGAACTATTCTTTTAAATAAATAATGGGCTTTTGAGGCTGATGAGATGGCTAAGAGGGTACAGAAACTTGCTGCTAATCCTGTCCACCTAAATTCCATTTCTAGACTTACATGGTGAATGAAGAAAAACTAACCTCTGAAAGTGATGTGGACTGTGAGACAGGGTCTCACTTTGTAAGCCCTGGCTGTCCTTGAACTCACTACAGAGGTCAGGCTGTAGTGGAACTCAGAGATTCACCTACCTCTGCCTCTGATTGCTGTGATTACGGGCATTCATGAACACACCTGTCCTTTTTTTTTTTTTTTTTTTTTTTTTTTTTGGTTTTTCGAGACAAGGTTTCTCTGTGGCTTTGGAGGCTGTCCTGGCACTCGCTCTGTAGACCAGGCTGGCCTCGAACTCACAGAGATCCGCCTGCCTCTGCCTCCCGAGTGCTGGAATTAAAGGCGTGCGCCACCAACGCCCGGCTGAACACACCTGTCCTTAAGTGGGCTTTTTTGTTTTTTTTTGTCTGTTTGTTTCTGTTTTATAAGGACAGGGTTTCTCTGTGTAGCCCTGGCTGTCCTGAAACTGATTCTGTAGACCAGACTGGCCTCGAACTCAGAGATCGGCCTGCCTCTGCCTCCTGAGTGCTGGGATTAAAGACATGCGCTGCTATCCCCCCACTACCACTGTTTCCACCACCACCTGGCATTAGGTGAACATTTATAATTACTTCACATCAATGTTTTAAAGTATTTTTCTTAAATTTCAAAAGTTAAGCTTCTAATATCATTTTTCAAATTCATGGTTCCTTTTCAGTTTAAAATCAGGCATAAACCAGACGGTGGCACACACCTTTAATCGCAGCACTCGGGAGGCAGAGGCAGGCCTGGTCTACAGAGCTCATTCCAGGACAGCCTCCAAAGCCACAGAGAAACCCTGTCTCGAAACCTTGGCGGGGGTGGCGGGGACACGAGACAGACATAAAACTATGAGCTCAGTTGTCTTTGAATTGATATTACCTAAAATATGTTTACAAATTAGTTCACATGCTACAAAAAAAAGGTGGCAAGGTATTATCAAAAATGACAAGTAATTAAAAAATATAATAGCTTCTTCCTCAAGCAGTTATCTGTTTATGAATTTTTATCATGTTATGAATTTTATCCTTTGTAGCACATTTCTACTTAGAGCTGAGTAGAGGGAATGATTGTATGTTATAATATATATGAAAAAAATACTCTCAACGTCCTCCTTTCTTCTAGTTTTATAACCCAGTAAGTTATATTGTGGGGGGCTGGAGAGATGGCTCAGAGGTTAATTGCACTGGCTGTTCTTCCAGAGGACACGAGTTCAATTCCCAGCAACTACATGGTGGCTCACAGCCATCTCTAATGAGATCTGGTGTCCTCTTCTGTCATGAGGGCGTACATGTAGGCAAAAGACTGTGTACATAGTAAATACATAAAATCTTTTTTAAAAAAAAAAGTTACATTGTAGGCTGGTGAGCTGTTTCACTGTGTTAATGAGCTTCCTAGAAACCACATGTTAGAAGGAGAGGACCAAATACTGCAAGCTGTCTTTTAGAACACATTCTGATGATGTGCACCATGCATAACAAAATTGTGATACAAAGCATTGGTGGAGTTTTTTGTTTGTTTGTTTGTTTTGTAACATGATTTCACTATGAGTTCCAGGTCACATCACATAGTGAAATCATATTTCAAAAAATTTAATACAAATAAAAATGAATACACAAAAATATATACGTAACGAAGGCTTTTGTTGCATTTCTGTACATTTTTTTCCTTTTTAAAACCTTTTTTTTTTTATGGTTTTTCAAGACAGGATTTCTCAGTATTGTTTTGGAGCCTATCCTGGAACTCGCTCTGTAGACCAGGCTGGCTTCAAACTCACAGAGATCCACCTGCCTCTGTCTCCCGAGTACTGGGATTAAAGGCATGCGCCACCAACACCAGGCTCTTTTTTTGTTGTTGTTTATAGACTTTTTTCTAATCACATTTGTTGTTTGTGTGCGTATGTTCACCAAAGAGGCCAGAAGAGGCTTTCAGTCACCTAGAACTTGAGTTACAGGTGGTGTGAACCAGTTGGTAGACATCATGGAAACCAAACTTAGGTTTTCTAGAAGAGCACTAAGTGCTCTTAATCACAGAACATCTCCCCAACTTTCCTTAAGTGGGTTTCTGAGCTACGCATAAAGTGCTTTATCAGTTTCGTAGTTGAAAGATGGCTCAGTTAGTGAAGTGTATGTTGGGCAAACATGAGAACCCTCTCCTGTTCTATATGCACAGAGCACTCACATGGTACACATCCATACATGCAGACAAAACACAAGTAAGAAAGTATATAAATCAAAGGTTGGATATGTTGGTGCACACCTTTAATCCCAGCACTAAGGAGACAGAGGTAGGTGGATCTCTGAGTTCAAGGCCAACCTGGTCTGCATAGCAAGTTCTAGGGCTACAAAAAGAGGTCCTCTGTGTGTGTGTGTTATTCATAAATATCTCTCTATATTTTTTAATGAGGAGAAAAGATCAAAAATTCTATGCCAGACTATGCTATGCAGAAAGTTCCAGTACTTTCTGGACTGCAACCGGGCCAACATGATTGTTCAGGTGGTAAACATACTTGCTGCCAGGCTGAAGACTTGAGTTCAGTCCACAGGACCCACATGGTGGAAGGAGGTACCAGCTCCCATAAGATGTCCTTTGACATTTACGCATGTGCTATGACACATACTCACCCCAATATACACAATCAAGTAATAAATGTTACTTAAGAACGATATTCTTCCCCTTGCTGTTTTTCTTTCTATTTCTTTCCTACTATTCTTTCCTTATCTCAGCAGTTCTTTCTCAAGTTTGTTTGTTTGTTTGTTTGTTTTTTAATCTATGTTCCCAGCCAGGCATGGTAGTACATGACATTGATCTCAGCACTCAGGATGCAAAAGCAGGATCTTTGAGTTGAGGCCAGCCTAGTCTACAGAGTTTCAGAGCAGCCAGGAATACAAAGAAGAAGCCCTGTCTTGAAAGACCCAAACAAGAAGAGAACAGCAACAGAAAGACTAGCGTGTCTGCAGCCATACCACCCTAAAGGCACCCATTCACATCAGAACAAAAAACTAGACGGTTGTGAGTTTTATATAGCAGTAAAGCATTGTCTATGACTTAAGTCTAAAATTATGGAAGTTAACTTTTGAATTGTATCATTTTCATTTTGGATATTTAGGTACTTTGTTAAAATTGTTTCATTAATTAAATTTAAAGATATAAAATGTGTACAGTAAAATTGTATTGTATAAATTGAGTACAATTCTTTCTTTCTAGAATGATCTTTGCTGAATGTTCACCTAACACCTGCCCCTGTGGTGAGCAGTGCTGTAACCAGAGGATCCAGAGGCATGAGTGGGTGCAATGTCTGGAACGGTTTCGAGCTGAGGAAAAAGGTTGGGGAATTAGAACCAAAGAACCCCTAAAAGCTGGCCAGTTCATCATAGAATACCTAGGGGAAGTTGTCAGTGAACAAGAATTCAGGTAAATAGTGAAATTTCAATAAAATGAATCTGCAAGACGAAGATAGTGAACTAAAGATGTGAACTTTAATGTTATAATTATTAATTAGAGATTTAGTATTGATAATACAGTGGGAAGAAAAGCTGCCTTCCAATTTAATCAGTAATTGGCTTTTGGTTATTTCTCTTCAGGAACAGGATGATTGAACAGTATCATAATCACAGTGACCACTATTGTTTAAACCTGGATAGCGGGATGGTGATTGACAGTTACAGAATGGGAAATGAGGCCAGATTCATCAACCACAGCTGTGACCCAAATTGTGAAATGCAGAAATGGTAAGAAAGCATGAAAGGTGAATCAAAGAAGTATGTAGAACGGAAGGTATCGAGGGCACCAGAAATTGATCTCCTGCTGTCACGCAGTTTATACAAAGCATCTTGGGAAGTCCTTCAGGCAGAGTAAACTTTTGCTTTTTCTTAAAATAGAGCAATTGTGGTAATTCTGATCCTAGTACTTACCAAATGCTTAATGGATGCTAGATGACTACATTATATGTATGTCATTTTATTCAGCCAAGTTATATTTCAAACTTACACCAGTAGATTTATCATAAGAGGGAAATGTTAGATTCTTCGTTAATGGTCCAATCTAATTGAGAAAGAAAAAGATTTTATCAATGAAGCTTTGAAGGGCTGGAGAAATGGTTAAGAGTGCATACTGCTCTTCTGAGGTCTGGATTTGATTCCTAGCACTTCTAATTCCAGCTCTGGGGAGATGTAACGCCTCTGGCCTCTACTTGCACCTGCCCTCACATGTACATACCCACACACACATATACATGCACATAATTTTTAAAATAATAAAAAGAAATGTAGGACATGTCTCATCCGTCAGAGAGCCAAGGCCAGGTGATCAGTGGTCTACAGTACACACTGCTCTTGCAGAGGACCTGAGTTTGGTTCTCAATATCCATATGGGTGGTTCACAACTGCCTAAAACTCCAGCTCCAGAGGATACGATTCCTCTCACCTCTCCTAACAACCTGAATTGGATTCCCAGAACCCACATGTTTGTCCTCTGACAAACAGACTTACAGACACACACACACACACACACACACACACACAACACACTAAGGCATGTGCACATGGACACGCAATTAGAAGTAATATGAGGATAACATGAACAGCTAGCTTCATTTTTTTCATGAATTTCATTAAATTAAGGTGCAATTCACATACACAAAACTACGTTTTAAGTGTGTATTTTTACCAGTATATTCTCCCACAAAGTCCTCACCCCTGTGAAAACATTTCAGAAAGTTGAGAGACTGGCAGATGGAGCTTTATGATAGAGCACTTGCCTAACAAGCACAGAAGCTGAACTTCATCCCTCCATCTACAAAGTGAAAATAAAGCATGCCTTCCCCAAGCAAAAGCAGACAACCTCATAGCCAGTCTGCTGTACAGAGTAAATTCCAGGCCAGCCAGGACTAAATAGCAGGATCTTATCTCAAACAGAAACAGGAAATTCGTAGGCAGGATCTTACTATGTAGCCCTGGCTGGCTTGGAACTCATTGATAGACAAACCAGGCTGATCTCAGACTTAAAGCAATTCTCCTGCCTCTGCATGCTGAGTGTTAGTATTGCAAGTATGAGTCACACCACCCCGCTTGCCCTGTATCTCCCACAGTCAGTCTCAACACCTTCTAAAACAAATATTGATCTAGTTTCTGTTATAATCTATTGAAGGGGATTTCTGGCCCTCCACAAAGAATATACACAAAACACATACATATACCCCACACACATGTACACACCTATAATCCCAACACTTGAGAAACTAAAGTAGGAGAATATTGAGATGGAGGCTAGCCTGGGCTACATAGTGAAACTCTGTATTTAAAAAAAATGTCTTGGGGGTGAGGTGGGAGGAATGGCGCAGGCCTTTAATCCCAGCACGTAGGAGTTAGACGTAGGCAGATCTCTGAGTTTGAGGCCAGCCTAGTGTTTGAGTGAGTTCTAGGACAGCCTCCAAAGCTACAGAGAGACCCTGCCTTGAAAAACAATAGAATGGCTGAAGAGATAATTTCAGTTACGAGTACTTGCTGTTCTTGCAGAGGACCGTTGTTCAGTTCTCAGAAACCACATATGCTCTCATCTGGCACCTCCTCATCTAGCCTCCAAAGTACCAGGTGTGCACACAGTGTACAAACAGATATATAAATAAGATAAAAGAAATAAATAGGGAGGAGGGTGGCATGGGTGTGGTGATACCCACCTGTAATGCCAACACTCTAGAGAGTTCCAGGCCATCCAGAGCTGTGTAGTAAGACAAGCATACAAAAACAAGCAGAGAAATGGAGGGGACAAGGAGGCTGCTCAGCTAGTAAAGATAGTTTCCCTCGAACCTGATGCCCTGAGATTAGATCCGTGTTCCCGTGGATCTTCCCACATGGTAGAAGAAAAGAACTGCTCTTAGTAGTTGTCCCCTACCTCCACATGTGTGCCATTACATACACATGCACACGTGTACACCTGCCCAAATACAAAATAAATGTTTGAAAAATAATGAACTGGGTTTGAGGGTAGACCAGGCTGTCCTAGAACTTACAGAGATTCCCCTGCCTCTGCCTCATGAGTGCTGGGGTTAAAGGCGTGTGACCTCATGCCCATCATGAATTAATAGATTCTTCTTAAATTCTATTTTTTTGGAACTTGCTCTTCAGTCTGGCCTAACTCAGATTTCACTTGCCTCTGTTTTCCTGAGTACTGGGATTAAAGGCATGTACCACCACTGCCTGGCATAGCCCAGTCTCAAAAAATAAAAAATTAAATTAAAGTGAAATAAAAAATAAAAGACAGTACTATTTATAACAACTTCATTAAAGACTAGTGTCTCAGCCGGGCGTTGGTGGCGCACGCCTTTAATCTCAGCACTCGGGAGGCAGAAGCAGGCGGATCTCTGTGAGTTCGAGGCCAGCCTGGTCTACAGAGCAAGTTCCAGGACAGCCTCCAAAGCCACAGAGAAACCCTGTCTGGAAAAACCAAAAAAAAAAAAAAAAAAAAAAAAAGACTAGTGTCTCAGGGTGAGAGTTGGATCAGCAGTTGGTAAGAGCACTGACTGTTCTTCCAGAGGACCTGGTTTAGTACCCATGTAGCAGTTGACAGATATCTATAACTCTTGTCCCAGCAGATCCAACACCTTTTTCTAACCTTAGTGAACACCAGGCACCTATGTGGCACACATAAACATGCAGGCAAAACAAAACAAGACACTCATAAAGTACTAGAAAAATAAAAATCCTTCATACCTAAAAATAAATCTAAAGAAAGTTAGACCTTTGTGGTAAGATCCACCAAACAGACATGTATTATTCAAGGGCTAGGTATCCATCTTCATACCTGTTCTTCCACTACAGATTTTGTGGCTAGTTTAAGTTACATAGTGAGCCTCAAAAAAATTGGGGGGATGCTGGGCGGTGGTGGTGTACACCTTTAATGCCAGCACTTATGAAGCAGAGGCAGGCTGATCTCTTGAGTTCAAGGACAGCCTGGTCTACAGAGTGAGTTTCTGGACAGCCAGAGCTATTACACAGAGAAGCCCTACCTGGAAAAAAACAAAAAAGGAAAAATACAAATCGAGTTCTAGGAGAGACTCCGAAGCTACAGATAAACCCTGTCCTGAGAAAAGCCAAAAGGAAAAATGTAGGGTGGCTAAGGAAATAGCATTGGTTCCGAGGCATTGTGCACAGATCTGAGAACCTGTTGCCACATCCCCAGCACCCATGTCAAATGCCAGGCATGGCAGTGCATGGTTTGGGACTCTAACACGAAGTAAGTGGAGATAGCCTCCAAAACCCTGTCTCGGAAAAAAAAAAAAAAGTTGAAAGCCAGATTCATCTCAATGAGACCCTGTCTAAATATTACAAAATGGTGAATCACATTTGAATTCATACAAGGCAAATACAGAGGAAAGCAAAGATAAACTAGATGAAAAGAAATATAAGGGCTTGCTTGTCTTACCAAATTTCAAGCCTTAATGTAAAGAGTACCAGGTAAAAGAGTAAATAGATATCCCTTGCTTATAATAAAGAATATATATATATATACATACATATATATATATATATATATATATATATAAATCAGGCAGAGTTTGATAAACTGTCACCTTGGTCATGGCAGTGCTGCTGCTGCTAAGGATAGTTTTGAAAGACCCTTCAGTCTTCCTCTCAGGACCCTCACCCCAAAGACCACCAGAGAGACGAAGTTCATGGCCAAACGCAAGAGGATTTTTAATTAAGCCAGCGCACCGGCGTTCAGCAGCCTTGGGAAGGAGTGAACCCCGAGCAGAAATTACAGCGAGATTTTAAAGCCTGAAACCGCAAACGGGGTGGTGGGGGAGTTTGATAATCGGTGTCAGACCTTGATGCAAACACATACGCTTGTGGCTGTCTGGCTCGTTATCTGTCTTAGGCAGCGTCTGTGCCCTGGCTGAACTTTGTGACCGGCCTGGAACCTTGAGGACTGAGGTCTGGGAAATATTTCCAAGTCCTTGAGGACCACCAGGGGAGGATGTCTATCTTTAAGTGCAGCTAGTAATTTTCCAACTGTTGGGGGCCTCTTCAGTTTTCCAGTTCTTTTTCTAGCCTAAGCCACATGTGACAGTACGTTTTCTTGGACTTAGAGTAGACACAGATAACTCAAAAAGTATTAATCATGCATTTTTTGGGTTTTTTCCAGCATGGTAAAATTAATATTTCTAAAGCTTAGTGTGATAACACATGTCTAAAATCAGAATTTGAGGCTGAAGGTCCACCCTGATTCTGAGGCCAGATTGGCCTATGAAGTAAGACTGTCTCAAATATTCAAGAGTGGAATGGATTGATTTCTAATCATCCTTTATAAAAGAACTTACCTCAGGTACACTAAGATGACCCTAAGTTTTATCTCAACCCTTGACCTATCTAGAGCTGCTGTGATGAAACACTATGACCAGAAGCAATTTGGGGAGGATAGGGTTTATTTCATTCTTAGTTCCATATTAACAGTCCATCATCAAAAGCAATGAGGGCAGGGGCTGACGCAGAGGCCATGGGGGAGCTGTTTACTGGCTTGCTCCTCATAGTTTGCTCAGCCTGCTTTCTTTCTTCCTTCCTTCCTTCCTTCCTTCCTTCCTTCCTTCCTTCCTTCCTTTCTTCCTTCCTTTCTTTCTTTCTTTCTTTCTGTGTGTATGTATGGTTTTTCGAGACAGGGTTTCTCTGTGGCTTTGGAGGCTGTCCTGGAACTAGCTCTTGTAGACCAGGCTGGTCTCGAACTCTCGAACTCACAG